AAAGTGGATGTAAAGTCGGGAAATGAGTTTGCACTTTCGGTGTGTTTGTGTTTTCGAAAAATCCTCAATCGGCCTTTACCACGTGAGTTTGGATGTTAGGTGTGTCACTTGTTTTGTCTAAAAATAAAAAAACAAGATTTTCCAGATGACCCTTCTCCCTTTCAGCAGTCGATCTCCAATAAGATAGCCAAAAAGAACGTCTATGAAATAAATTGCACCCGAAACAATGTTGCAAAATAGAGGGTGAAGTTATGTAAAATAAGTTACTAATTGCCTTGAAAAACCTCTAAGGACTTTACAACCACAAAAATGTAATAAAAGCTACAAATCCTAAAATTAACACAAAATCTTAAGGCAACTAATCTAACATGAGATCAATAGAAGAAAACAACATGCCATAAAAATAAAATTCGCAAACAACAAAAAATTTAAAATCACAGACAACGATTTCTACTACGTAATACATAACAAATAAAGTCAATTACTTGCAGATTTAAAATAAAAATAGCTAAACTACTTGATAACTAAAACTGAAGAATAAACTACAAAATAATTAAAGTTTGGAAACTTATATAATTAAATCTGGAAATTAAAATTAAGTAAACTGTATGTCTAGCTGTTGTGCAGAAACAAAAGAACAAAGGTAGAAAGCATTCAACCTACTTACATGAACAAATAACATAGCTAAATCCATAAAAGAAAGAAGAACTAATCAAATCAATAGGGCAGACCTGTTTTGAAGGTTGAATTGCTTTCAAATGCTTAAAAACTAACCTAAGTTGAAATCTTTGAGGAAAGATATGAACAAGGATGGAAAAACGTAAACTAAGACTATGAACAAAAACAGATCTTGCAAACTAATCTGGAAACTATTGCTGAAATTTGGAAACTATTGCTGAAATCTGGAAAAGCCAATTTGAAAGTTGAAAAACATGCTCTGGGCAGTGTGTGTGTAGGGCAGGCCGTTTGGAACTGATTTTTTTCTCCCTATTTTTCTTTTCTTCAATGCTGGGAAACTTCCTCCATGATTCTCGACCCTCTTCCACCATGATCAAGTAGTGGGGGTTCCATGTCTGGCAGTTGACAGTTTTTACTCAATCTTATCTCCAATAAAACCCTAGAGATAACTTCCTCCTAAAAACTCTCAACTTCCTAACCTAAATCAAACTCAAATACCAAAAGTTATTTTATCTTCTGTCACTTGAAATCCAACTTCTTTAAAATTCCATCTGGACCTTTAAATTGTAATCCAACCCAGCCCAAATCCATCTTGCTAACTTTTCTTGATAATTGGACTTCAACTTGGCACGTGGCCTTTTCTCATTGGTTTATTTTAGGTGTAAACAATGCCCCCAAATACTTGGTTTTATGGGAATAAATCCAAGTGTTTAAATTTTAAATTACCTTTCAGACTCTAAACTCCAAAGGCCACGTGTAGAATCTGCTAAATCCCAAGATGATTGTAGCAAGTATTCCTAACTTTTTCACAGCTAACTCTATCTGAGCGCATCCAGCCATCCATAGCCAATCATGGTCACTTGATCAAACTTGCTCTCATTCAAAATGAAATAAATGAAAGAAACTCAATTTAATTATCCACAAAAAAAAGTGTGAACCTGGCTTAGACAGCTTCTTGGGACTCCATTCCTCTTGCCTCCCAAACTATGGGGTAATAAGGCTTGAGATAAATTCCATTGATTTTTCTAGGATGAAACTCTCCATCAAGTGACTCTAACCAATAAGCACCCCCTCTCAACACTTCATGAATTCAGAATGGTCCTTCCCAATTTGGGGACCACTTCCCAAATCTGTGATCTTTCTTGCCAAGAGGTAAAATTGCTTTGCAAACCAAGTCTCTAACTGCCAGATTTTTACCTTTCACTCTCTTGTTGTTAGACTTTGCAATTTTAAGCTTTTGAGCTTGCAATCTATCCAAAGCTGTTAAACGTGTATCTTCAAGATCCTCAAGTTCAAGCATCATGGCCTCATCGTATTCCCTAGACTGGAGATTATGTTGAATCGTTATTCTTAAAGACCTGACTGTTAACTACATTGGCAAGACTGCATCATGGCCATATGTTAAAGCAAAAGGTGTCATTTTGGTTGAACTCCTTTGTGAAGTACTATAAGCCCACAACGTTTCAGACAAAAGTTCATGCCAATGTCTGGGGTTGTCATCCACCATTTTTTCAAGTAAATTAATCACCACCTTGTTGGAAGCCTCAGCTTGCCCATTAGCTTGTGCATAATGTGGAGTAGAATTTAGCAGACGAAAACCCATTTCCTTTGTAAATGCCTCCACTTGATGGCTGACAAAAATTGTGCCTTGGTTTGTTGTAATTATTTATGGCAAACCAAACCTGTGAATAATGTCCTCTTTTATAAACTTGATTACATCAGATTGATCTATCTTCTTCATTGGTTTAGTCCACCCATTTGGTAAAATAATCCGTTACCACTATAATAAATGAATGACCTTTTGATCAAGGAAGGTACACCTTACCAATCAAGTCAATAGCCCAACCTCGAAATGGTCACGGGTTCACAATAAAATTGAGTTCAGAGGCTGGAACTCTTTGAAGTGGCCCATGGATCTGACAAGATTTGCAGCCCTTAGCATAAGCAATACAATCTTTCAAGACAGATGGCTAGAAGAAACCATGCCTGCAAATCAGCCTGTGCATCTTGATCCTAGCCTGGTGTGCACCACAAATCCCATCATGGACATCAAACAACATCTCGAAACTTTCATCTAGACCTAAACAACACAACAGTAGTTTGTCATGGCCTCTCCTATAAAGCACATCCTCAATCAAGACATAATTGAGAGCTCGCATTTTGGTTTTCTTAGATACCTTAGTGCTCTGATCCTTAATGTACTAAAAATTTGGAAAGCGCCAGTCTGTCTGGGTGACATCAATGCTGCAAGTAAAAACTATCATGCCACGTTGATGAAATGATGGCAGACTATGCTTTTCAACTATTACAACTTTCTATATTACACCTTTAGGAATCCACAGACCTGAAGCAATATGGGACATTTCATTAGCTTCATAATTCTGGTCTCTAGGCACATGTCTGATAGACACATCATCAAATTCTTCCAGTAATTGCACAGCCAAGGCAAAATAAGGGGCTAAAGCAAGGCTAGTACATTTGTACTCACCAAACAATTGCTTCAAGACTAGTTGTGAGTCCCCTATAACTTCAGCCATGGATACTTTAAGCTCCACCAACATCTCAAAACCAATAATCAAAACTTCATATTCTGCTTGATTATTTGTACAATTGAAATCCAATTGGAAAGACATCTGTGTTTTTAGCCCAGACGGAGAGATTATCATGACCCTAACTCCAGACATAGCTTTTGTGTTCGATCCATCAAAAACAAGTTTCCAAGAGACCAAACTTATTGAAAACAAGTTAATTCCCTTTTCTTCATCAACTTCCACTTCCAGACATGGATGATCTGCAAGAAAGTCTGCCAATGCTTGCCCTTTGACAACCTTCTGTGGTATGTATTTCAAATTAAATTCACACAAGGCCAGAATCCATTTACCTATTCGGCCTCTTAATAAAGGGCGAGATAACATATATTTGACCATATCAGTCTTAGCAACCACATAAACCGCGAAATAAATCAAATCATGTTTTAATTTTATTGTAGCAAAAAAGAGAGCAAGACACAACTTTTCAACTAAATAATATTTCACTTCGGCCTGGGTCAAACATAGACTCAAGTAATACACAGCCTACTCCTTTTTGTTATCATTTTCCTGCACCAGTAGACATCTTAAGGACTCGTCTGTAGTGGATATATACAAAATTAAAGGTTTGTTTTTCACAAGCGATACAAGTACTGGTGGTTTGCATAAGTACCGCTTTATTGTATCAAAGGTAGACTGGTGTTGTTCTTCCCACTTAAAATTCGACTCAGACTTGAGTTTCAATAGAGGAGAAAAGACTCTGGTTTTCCCAGCCAAGTTAGAAATGAAACGTCTTAAGAAATTAACTTGGCCAAGAAACCTTTGCAACTCCTTATTCTATGGTGGTCTTGCCTCAATCACAGCCCTGGCTTTGTTCTTGTCAACCTCCAGACCACGCTCATGCACCAAGTACCCAAGGAAATTACCTACAGACACTATAAAGGCACACTTTAGTGGGTTCATTTTCAAGCCATGTTGCCTCATCCGCTCAAAAGCCTTCCTCAAATGGACCAGGTGGTCTTCTTCCCTGTGTGACTTGACCACAACATTATCAATGTAGATTTTTATGAATTTACCAATCATATCATGAAAAATTACATTCATGGCTCTTTGGTAGGTGGCTCTAGCATTCTTCAAACCAAAAGGTATTACAACCCACTCAAAAGTTCCAACAGCACCTGAGCATCGAAAGGCTGTGTTTGGAACGTCTGCATTTGTAATAAAAATTTGGTTGTATGCACTATGGCCATCCATGAAAGATAAAATTTGTGACGGGCTACTCCATCAACTAGTAAGTCTGCAATTGGCATGTGATACTCATCCTTTGGTGTGGCTAAATTCAAGTTTCAAAAATCAACACAGACTCTTAATTTTCCATTCTTTTTCAGCACCGGCACTACATTTGACAACCATTTTGCATACCTGCAGGTCTAAATGAATCCATCTTTTACCAGCCGCTTAATTTCTTCTTTCACCTTCAAGGTGACCTCTGCAGACATGCGTCTAGGCAGCTGTTTATACGATCTGAATCTTTCTGCAATTGGTAGTTTATGTTCCACCAATTTTTGATCTAGACCTGGCATTTCTGAGTAATCCCAAGCAAAACAGTCTTTAAATTCATGAAAAAGTTTGATAATTTGATTTCATGTCTGCAGCTCAAGAGAGCCGCTAATAAATGTTACCTTTGGCTCACTTTCAGACCCAAGATTGATCTCCTCCAATGGGTCTTGAACTTCAGCTTTTAGATCATCCAACTTGGCTGGGGCAAGATCTAGCTCCTCCAAAGTTATTTTATCACCCTGGTCTGGCTCCTCACCTTCATGAACAATTTCAGATCTGTCTACTTGAACTGCTTTTTCAGCAAAGTAAGCCGCTAATTTCTTTGTTATCTCCAACACAGCCTTTTCTTTTTCTGTTCCCAGGCGAGCTTGCTTCATTAGATTTCTTCAATTTTTAGTTTCCCCTTCGGCCTATAAGGAATTATTGCTGTTTGCCGAAGAAGTTCATCACAGACTTCCTCTACGACATGCTTAGACAATGACGGTCTGCTGCATGTTGTTATCCCAATTGGCTTCCTATGTCTATCCATCCCAAAAAACCAAATGGTCCCAATTGCTTCTTCATAATACCTAGCCTCCACCAGATCGGTATTAGCTGAAAAACACTTATCATCTGCAGACACCACCTTAACCTTGCCACCATTCCAGAAAATCAGCTTCTGGTGAAGTGTAGAAGGGACACACCAACTTGAATAAATCTAGTCACGCCTTAAAAGTGCATTGTAAATAGCAACAGTGTTCACCACAAAAAATGCAGACATTAGTGTCTTATTTCTCACTGTTAATTCAACAGGTAGCACACCCCTTGAACGATTTACCCCTCCTGTAAAATCACTAATTGTAACATCGGTATGCACTAAATCATCAAGAGACTTGCCTATTTTATAAAGCATGCAAGTTGGAAGAACATTGACTACAGCTCCGTAATCCATCAAGACACGGTTGATTGGAGTCCCATTCATATGAGCATTGATATAAAATGGCCTAATGTGTCTGGTTATCTTTTCTTCAGGTTTTTCAAATACTATTTTGTCAGCCATGTCCTCCTCTTCATCATCCTAAGCTGGAATAATGATTGCCTCTTCTTCTGTCTGTTTAGGGAACTCACAGACAACTGGTTCCTCCTCCTTCTTGGCTTGGAAAACCAAGGGTAATGTCAGCACCAGACATGACAAATTCACTAAGAATTCCCCAAAATGAATAATGCCATCTTCTTTTGGTTCACCTCCAAGATTTTTCAGACTGTTCTTGTACTTCAAAAGTTGCTTTCAAAACTCCGTTTGGACTCACAATGACAAATGCCACATTTGGAGAAACTGGAGATTGGTCATCTCCCTCCAATAAAGTTTGGGTTACAATCTCTTTTTTCTCTTTTCTCACCCACACCATGTTCCTTTTGATAGGTTGGCATGGTTTGCGAAATGAACTTCCCTCAGCCTCCACCTGCTTCTGTTGCCTTTTCTGCTCTTCAACCCTCTTGTGCTGTAGTCTGCACCTCAAGGTTTTGGGATTCTGGGTTGGAAACTTCAGCTGACCGACTTTCTCCCATTGTTTGGACGGTGACCTGAGTGGTGGTTTAACCATTCTTGGAGATCTAGTACCAGTTGAGTGAGGCCTGGTACTTTCTGGGTTGAAGTTCCTAATCACAATGAACCTTCCTTGCCCCCCGAGCCTTTGTCGGTCTAACCTGATGCTCCTGCTATGTCTGGATCTTTACGCCTCAATAACCCACCTCAGGTAGTCAGCAGCAAGGTTCCTTTGAGCATAAGGCAGACTATAATTTCTGGCAACACTCCTTAGGTTTGCAACATTCACGCCAACAGACACAGCTGTAAAAGGATCTGCATTTACTCACATGGTTTCCTTCGCTTTGCCTGAAAATTTCTAGATACCTTGTCAATCTTTTTTTGCAAGACATTACGAAAAATAAGACAATTAATAATCTCTAGCTTTGATTTCAGTCACTGTCGGGATTTTATGTCCTGGTAGTAGCTTAATCAGACCACTCTTTTTAAGGTGGTCGAATATATCACTAGGTTTTGACACATCAAAAGTATACTGTTTTTCAGCCTCACTAACATAACGTCTCACAGACATCTCAGGTTGGTGAGTTGGTCTGACAAGGTTTGGACAAACAACAGGCTTGTCTGTAACCACCTCGACCACATCAAGATCAAAATTAGGGTCACTATAATAGGTTCCATGTGATGCAGCTTTCTTTTGAACATCTTCTTTTAGCAGATTTTCATACCGAGCCACTTTATAAGACAATTCATAGAATTCTCGAAATTCCATCCCTTTAAATTTCTTTCGCAGCTCGATGTCCAGACCATTCTAAGCCAGCTTGACAAATTCCTATTCTGGTAGTGCAACTCGACATTTCAGTTTGGCTTTCCAAAACCTAGCAAGGAATGCCTCAGGCGACTCTCCAGGCTTTTTGGCTAACCTAGACAAGTCTGCCTTAGACAAGTCTGCCATAGACACTTCCGGTTCACAATGATAGAATTGGATATGAAACAAGTCCTCCATTTGCCTCCAAGAGTAGACTGAATTTTGAGGTAGACTTTTTGGCTAACCTAGACAAGTTTGCCATAGACACTTCCAGTTCACAATGATAGAATTGGATATGAAACAAGTCCTCCATTTGCCTCCAAGAGTAGACTGAATTTTGAGGTAGGCTGAGGTACCAAGTAAGGGTTGTCCCAGTCAAAGAGCTAGGAAACAGTCTGAGTTTCAAGTTATTATCTCTAGACGCCTTTCCACACTGTATTGTAAAGCATCCAATATGTTCAATAGTGGACTAACCAGCCTCACCAGAAAATAGAGTGAACTCAAGCACTTTAAAACCCCTTGGAAAAGGATTTTCATGATCAATGACGTTTGGATAAGGCTTCCTGTAGGTTGAATGTACCAATGGCCTCAAGGCTGGTCCATAGGTTTCCTGTACCAGATCTATTAGCTGATCTCTATTGAATAGTTGAGCTAGTTGATTTTGCAGACCACACTGTACTGGTTGGGCTGGTGGAACTTGTGGCTGGAAAAAGTCCCTTGGATGGGGTTGATGATAAGGACCCACATTTCCCCTCCTACTTGGCAGAATATACCTGTGTTAAGGTTGATGGCCATGGTTTGCAACAAGAGCAGCAGCCTCTATTAGTTCATGTTGTCTTTGCCTTTCACCTATGAAGAAATTCTACTATTGAATGTTAGGATGAAGCTGATTCCCTTGCCCCTCGAGCATTGGGATTGGGGCTTTCTGAATCTGTTTGGGCATTTCAACGATTAGAGGGAGGACCTCAGGTCTGGGTAGTCGCACTTGCTCAACTACTTGTTATGAAACAGCTTACAATGTTCTGCGACTCTCCTCTCTAGTTTCACATATCACCCTAGTGCCTTCTTCGAAAATCCATCTCCATTTAACCATACATTGTCTCATTGCCTCATTATGCTGTCTAGAGGATTCTGCTTGTCTCTCAACAATTTTCTGAATATCTTGGGCCTGCTCTCTGCACGATATCTCAAAGTGTTCAGTCAAGTCTCTAATCACATTACATGACTTCGCCAATTCATCTTTGTAGTCTGCATCCCTTTCCTTGAAAATTGGATTGCCATAAGATCGCTCCACTAAGGGTGACAAGAAGGGAGGAACAACTAGATCATTCTCACCCTCCGAGTAGATTGGACTATCATCTGCATGTTTAGCCTAGGCTGGCTGAACCTCTTTATCTTTGCTCTTTCTCGGTGGCATGGCTCCAGACGCCTTTGGATGTATAAACAAAGGATTGTTTTCCCAAAAATCCTCAGCCGGCCTTTACCACGTGAGTTTTGATGTTAGGCGTGCCACTTGCTCTGTCTAAAAACAATAAAACAAGATTTTCCAAACGACCCTTCTCCCTTCCAACGGTCAACCTCCAATGGGATGGCTAGAAAGAACGTCTGTGAAATAAATTGCGCCCTAGACGATGTTACAAAACAGAAAGTGGAGTTCTGCAAAATGGGTTACTAATTGCCTTGGAAACCTCTAAGGACTTTACAACCACAAAAATATAATAAAAGCTACAAATCCTAAAATTAACATAAAATCCTAAGGCAACTAATCTAACATGAGATCAATAGAAGAAAACAACATGCCATAAAAATAAAATTCGCAGACAACAATTTCTACTACATAATCCATAACAAATAAACTTAATTACTTGCAGATTTAAAATAAAAATAGCCAAACTACTTGATAACTAAAACTGAAGAAGAAATTACAAAATAATTAAAGTCTAGAAACTTATATAATTAAATCTGAAAATTAAAATTAAGTAAACTGCATGTCTGGCTGTTGTGCAGAAACAAAAGAACAAAGGCAGAAAGCATTCAACCTACTTACATGAACAAATAACATAGCTGAATCCATAAAAGAAAAAGAAGAACTAACCAAGTCAACAGGGCAGATCTGTTTTGAAGGCTGAATTGCTTCCAAATGCTTAAAAACTAACCTAAGTTGAAATCTTTGAGGAAAGATATGAACAAGGATGGAAAAACGTAAACTAAGGCTATGAACAAAAACAGATCTTGCAAACTAATCTGGAAAAAGTAGTATGAAAGTTGAAAAACATGCTCTGAGCAGTGTGTGTGTAGAGCAGGCCATTTGGAACTGATTTCTTTCTCCATGTTTTTCTTTCCTTCGATGCTAGGAAACTTCCTCCATGATTCTCGGCTCTCTTCCACCATGATCGAGTGGTGGGGGTTCCATGTCTAGTAGTTGTCTGGCAGTTGACAATTTTTACTTAATCTTATCTCCAATAAAACCCTAGAGATAACCTCCTCCTAAAAACTCTCAATTTCCTAACTTAAATCAAACTCAAATATCAGAAGTTATTTTATTTTCTGCCACCTGGAATCCAACTTCTTTAAAATTCCGTCTAGGCCTTTAAATTATAATCCAGCTTAGCCCAAATCCAACCTGCTAACTTTTCTTGATAATTGGGTTTCAACTTGACACGTGGCCTTTTTTCATTGGTTTATTTTAGGTGTAAACAGTTTGATTAATTAATGATAAATTTTTTCGCGAATGTTTTTATTGAAATAATAATTGAAAAATACTTTACTAAAAGTGGTTAAGTTCTATAATAATTTTTGTTTAAATTTTGTTAGATATTAATATTGTTATATTTAATTAGAAATTAAAATAAAAAAAGTATAAGGAAAGTTAAAATGCTCTTAAGACGGTCTCATATGCCTTTTTAACATATGTTAAGATGTAATTATTATATGTTTTTGATATTAATTAGTGAATTAGGATTTATTTTCATATAAATTTTATCTATTATAGTTATATAAAAAATTTTAATTATTTATTTTTTTATTTTTAATAATTAAGATTTATTTTTTATTATATTTATTAAAAATAATTTATTTTTTTCACTTAAAAATTATGATAAATTACGATCATAAAAAAATAAATAATCAAAATTTTATATAAATGAAATGTATAAAATTTATATATAAATAAAATTTTACTTTAAATTAGTATTAAAAAATTAAAATTAAAATTTATTTAATTAAGTATCTAATTAAAATGATTCAAAATAATAAAATAAATAATAATTTTTATAATTTTTAATATTAATAATATAAAAATATAATAATTCTATTTTAATGATACAAATTAAAAAAACTAAAAAAGAATTACACATCTTCTCCTTGTCTTTAATTTTCAGGGGCAATCATTGCAGGCAACTAACCCTGTGTCTAATGACACAAGTTATAAAATTCTTAAATATAAATAATTGATATTCGTTAGGAATTTTAAAATAAAAAGGAGATTACATATCTTATCTTCTCTTTATTTTTTTTTTTTTTTTGACCAGGTAAATGGTTAGGAAGTTAATAGAGTTAGTTTGTTAGTAGTTGAAATTTTTTAAGATGGTAAACATTTCATTCCCTCATTTGAGACGCGCGATCATTAAGTTGTAAATTGATGGAGTTCATGACGATGACAAAACTCAAAGTTTTGACCTCCACCTCACCCAAACCCTAAGACTTGAGATCAATCATTGTGCCTCAGGCCGGTTGGTATCTTATCTTCTCTTTTTGTTTTTAATTTCCAGGGTTAATAATTGCTGGCAGTGGAATCTCGCCGATGGGACATCCAA